TGGCTGATTTGTATGCGCCTCTCGAGTAGGCGGCCTCCCCAATGAACCAAACTTGCGGCCCGAGCCGTTTCGCTCGCCGGAACCGTATCGCCCAGGAGCGGCGCCCACAGAGAGGTATGGATTGCTTCGACGGCTGGTCTGGCTTGCTTCTGGACGGGGTCTAGTTTACTTTTGGGCGGGGTTTGGTCTACTTTTCGCTGGTCTGGCCTGCTGTGATGGATGGTCTGGTTTACTTTTCGGTGGGGTCGGGTCTCCTTGTGGGCGGTCTGGATCGCTCTGGCGGGCGGTCTGCTTTGACTTTGGGCGGGGTCGGGGTCTGTTCCAGTCTTGTGTGGTCCGGTTTACGTCTGAGCGGACTGGTCTGCTTCGATGGGAGGTCTGGTTTACTCTCCGGCGGGGTCTAACAGGTCTATCACACATATATATATATATAGAGAGAGAGAGAGAGAGAGAGAGATTGTTGGCGGTCTGGCCAGCTTTGATGGGCGGCAGCAAAGCGGAGGAGAGGAGGACGACAACGAGGATGGTGGCTGGTTTCAGCTTCGCTCGGGCAGCGAGTCTGTAGCCCGACCAGAGCAACAGCATGGCACAGCGCGGCATCGCATCGCATCGCATCGCATGGCATGGGATTGCAGATCACAGCATCGCACACCACAACAGAGCATCGCATAGCTTAGCATAGCGTAGCATAGCATCGCGATGCGTAGCATGTCGCAGCGCACCCTGGCATATCAGGGCGGGGCATCGCAGAGCCCAGTATCGCAGATCACAACACAGCATCCTGTCCTGGTGGGGTGGCAACAAAACTACCCATTACAACGAAACACCCTAATGGAATGGGCAGCCGGGTGTGGACGAGCCAGACAATTCCTCTCACAGACACAGACACGCACACACCTTTTCTCGTCGGCGGCTAGGCAGAGTGACTGCGCTGGCGGACGAGCATTGGTAGGACATACGACTACGAATCAAGCCGAAATGCGCGGGGGAAACGAGAGGAACGCCCGGCGGTGGCAGGAGGGAGACGGAAGCTGGGGCACACACACACACGTACACACAGACACAGACACACACACACAGACACACACACAGACACAGACAGACAGACACACACACAGACACACACACAGACACACACACAGAGACACACACAGACAGACACAGACACACACACACAGACACTCAGACACACAAAGACAGGCACACACACACAGACACACAGACACACAGACAGATACACAGACAGACACACACACAGACACACAGGCAGACACACACCAAGACACACAGACAGACAGACACAGAGACACACAGACAGACACACAGAAATACACACAGACACACACAGACAGACACACAGACAGACACACAGACAGACACACACAGACACACACAGGCACACACACAGACACAAACACAGACACACAGACAGACAGACAGACACACAGACAGGCACACAGGCAGACACACAGACAGACACACAGACAAACACTCAGACAGACACAAGGACAGACACAGAGACAGACACAGAGACAGACGCACAGACAGATACACAGACAGACACACAGACACACAAACACACCTCGTGCCCCTCTGCCTGCCGCCAGCCGGGTATGGGGGCCGTGCACGCCCCGCGCGGACCAAGCAATCGAGGGAGTCGGTGCCCTCCCCAGGCTGAGCACTTTTGATGCGGTCCTGCAGGGCCCGCCCCGGTTCCGCCCAGGCGCTGCCCTGGCAACTCTCACTCCGAAGCGCCAGCTGTGCCTCAATCTCTGCTGCACCATCGCTGCGGGCCTCTCCCCCATCCCCCCTCCCAACAACCTCTGATGACAACTTGGGGCCTGCTGAAACCTCTCGGAAACACAAAGCGAATATGAAGTGGAGCAATCAACAGGTACCGATACCGCTACTCCGAGGACCTCTCCTGGGGTGCGTTCTGACTAGGATTTCGAGGCGAATCCAGCGGTGGCGACGAGGAGCTCCCAGGAGACCGAACAAGGGTAAAACGGGCGAAGGGTAGAGGTATGGGTACCTTTTTTCTCCCCAGGTGAAGCAGACATCTCACTGCATTTGCAACGGAAGTGGGGCGCGCAAGGGCCCAGGCTGCCTGAGCAGTCCGCAGCTCGCCCCAGGCGCAGCGGTCGCGGGCCCGCTCCCTTCGGAGAGGAGGCCACACGCATTCGTCCCCTTTATATCGGCGGCGAGCGAGGGGGGGAATTGAGAAGGAGAGGGCCCTCTCAGGAGGAGGCGAGGCTTCTCAGAAGCCTTCGGGCCTTCTGAGAAGTTTTTGCTTGTTTTCGGGAACAGCTTAGAGAACTTCGCAGAAGGCCGGGGGACTTCTGAGCCTTCTGAGAAGACCCGCCCCTTCTCACGTTTCCCCCAGGCTCCCTGCCGACTTTATCAGAACTGCAGAGGACGCGCCACGCTTCCCCCATCCATCCTCCCTGGCGCAAGCTTGATCGTAAGGTCCGCGTTGGCCCAGGAACAAGACAAGTCGTGCCGCGCAGAAGGACTCGCTCCCTGTCAGCATCCCGTTTCTCTCCTCCTCCCCTGCCCCCACATTTCCCCCGTTGCCCAGCACCCCACTTTTTACGGGCGAGAGGCGGTCCAGGGAGATGCTTGCGTGCAGCACGCAGGGTCTTCGTTACCCCTCTGTCCCCACTTACGTTCGCTCCATATGAACTAATCGGTGTTCATCCCGCTCCTCCAATTCCACACCCTTCCATGTCCCCCGCCTCTCCGTTCCACTCCCTGACCCTAGTTTGAGGATGTTGTCAAACGTGAGTCTTCTTGAACGGTATCAATATAGTCATACGATCATGGCCGATTGCCTACCCAGCTGCACACCCAGTCCTCCTTCTGACCGCTGCTCGCTTCCAACGATCGCACGCTCGGCAGACCATGTGCTCCACGTGTTCTGCCGTCCCCCAACGTCATCCACAAACGGTCTATCCCCACTGCCGGCCCATCGTGCAGAGACGTCGGGGATGGACATAACCCCCTTTTAGTAAAACGTGGTTGAATGAACACGACCTCGGGCCCAAACCTGGCGGGCGCGAGCCCAGAAAATGACGGCCGCGCGCGCCCTCTCGAGAACCGAACACGGACCATTCACGAATGAATCGACGTGTCACGGTGGGGGCCCTGTCCACCCCCGAGAGACGGCGGGCGAAAACCTCAGCCCGTCGGCCGTGCTGCCGGGGCTGCGGCCGCAGAGGGCTGTCCCCCGTGGGCGCGGCGGGGCAGTGCTCCGGGAGAGCGCTCCAGGAGAGCGCTCTCCTCGGGCCAGGGTGGGTGCGGCTCCCCGTGCCCGCCGCTGCCCGTGGGGTGCCCCCGTCATCCCCGAGCAGGGCTGGGCCTAGAGTCGGCCAGTACGAGTAAGGGTGCGCGAGACAGTCGAGGCGTGGACCTGAGGAACCCCAACGAAGCCCTTTTTCCCATAAGGTCAGCCTCGATTTCCCATGGAAGACCTGGGGGAAGCCCGAGGCAAACTTTGAAACGATCAAGGAACACCGAGCCCCTCCCCAACGAAAAGGGTTCCTTCTTCAGCGCCCCGACTGTAAGGATGCAAGGGCCTTGGACGCCCATTTCGAAGCTTTTCGAGCGGGGCGCGGCCAGCGAAAGCGGCGAAGGATGGACCGAGGAGGCAAGGATGCAAGGGTACCCTTGGGAAGGTTGCCCATCCTTACTATGCGGGTTGACTGTAAACCTTGGTTTTCGTTGTGTGTTCGTTTTTCGTTGCTCGTTCTGCTCTTCCTGTTTTCTCATGTGTCTCCCTGCCACAACGATAAACAAAGCACAGCCGAAGTCCAGAAGAACAGCGTTCAGGCATAGGTTGGGCATCTCCCCCTACAGGCCGATTCTCGGGGATGGACAGAACCCCCTTTTAGTCAAACTTGGTTTAGTGACAACGACCTCGGGCCTAAACCTGGCGGGCGCCAGCCCGGAAAATGACGGCCGCAGCGCCCTCTCGAAAACCGAAAACGGACACTTCACTAATCAATCGACGTGTCAGGGTAGGTCTGTCCCCCCCCGAGATTCCTCCTACCAGCCGATTCTGGACGAAAAATGAAGAAACAGTCAGAGCAGAATCAGAAATGGTCAGGCAGTAGATCAAATGGTGCCCAGGCTATTCTTTACCCTTGTGGAAGATTCCTCCTGCAGAAGGACAGGCCCGACTCAAGCCTGGGCCCAGCCCCGTTCCCCGAGGCTCTCCGGTGCGGCGGCCGCCTCTCCCGCGGCTGCGCCTGCCCTGCCGCCCCACCGCGCGAGGGCCTCAGAGAAGCCCCCACGCCCGCCCGGGAGGGCCGACGCACCCGAAGCGCGGGGCTCCCGCGGCGCTGAGTCGTCGTCGTCGTCGTCGTCGTCGTCGTCGTCGTCGTCGTCTTGCGCGTCGCCGTCGCCGTCGTCGTCTTGTCACTGATGGCGTCGTCGTCGTCGCCGTCCATGAGCTATCCTCCTCCTCCTCCTTCCTCCTTCCTCCTTCCTCCTTCTCCTCCTCCTCCTCCTCCTCCTCTTCCTCCTCCTCCTCCTGGTCGTCCTCCCTGGTTTCCCCTTCCTGTTTCTCGGACGTCCGGAGCGCACGTGTCTTGCCTCCTCCCTCCTCTCTTCTCCTCGTCATCCGCCCTCCTCTCTCCTCCTCTTCCTCCCCCCTCTACCCTAGGGAACAAACAATGGCATAGACAGGAAAACTCGAAGGTCCGCGCGGATTCCTCGGAGAAGCTCTGGCGCTCCCTGGCGGCGCCGCCCCTGGCGCGCTCCACACGCCAGGGAGGGGGGTCCAACGCCGATCCTAGCAATCCGCGCGGACCCCTGAGATTTTATGTTTCTGTCATTGGTTCGTTCCCCGCCTCGTCATCCTTTTGTCCACTCTCTTCCTCCTCCTCCTCCTCCTCCTCCTCCTTCGCCCTCCTCTCTCTCCCTCCTCCTCCCTCTCGTCCTCCTCCTCCTCCTCCTCCTCCTCCTCCTCCTCAGCCACGGCAGCTGGACGTCGCTCGGGCCTTCTCGCAGTAGGCCTTCTTCACGTCGTCCGTGGTCTGCTCCTTGCCGAGCAGGGCGACCATCT